CAAAACTATTTTTTTCCAATTTTTTATTAGTCTTCCTCATTACAGTTCATTCCTGTATTTATGTTTATTGCTAAATGCTGTCAACTTATTATTTTAAAATCATTTTATCTTTAGATTGTCATAATGGAAGTTCAAGGTTTGAAGTCAGTTGCTCCCAATCGAATTGTTTACTGTACAATGGAAGTGGAAGGAGGAGAAAAACTGCAAACAGACCAGGCTGAAGCCTCAAGGCCACAGTAAGCCAGTTGAAAAAAAAAATATTTTTTTATTCTCCTAAAGAAACATGCTTCATTTATTTTTGGTATTGTATGGTATCACACTCTGAAACTGCTGTCTCGCTAGCTTTGTCTCAGTTGTGTTAGAAGCAGTGTGCACCTTTCTCGGTAATGATGTTATAATTAGAACTGTGGCAGGATCCCTGTGTAGTACAAACAGAAAATCCAACATGCAAACGTGAAGCCAATCGTTAGGCAATAAAACATTTGTAAGTCATTTATAAGGAAAGCATGTTTTATCATCATGTATTATTTAAAAGGTAACACATGATTCTATTTCAGTTATTAGAATTTAGAACTAGAAAACCTCTGTTGAGATCCTGGCTAAGCAGTGGTTAGGCACTGAAGATAAAAGATGAACAAGAAACTAACTTTCTTTAGAACAGAGGTGTACAGTTTATTATGGGTTGAGAAGAAGCAGGTCAAACCTTCTCACCCTGCCTGACAAAGCCCTACAGGTCTGCCTCTGACCAATTTCTCATTACCTGACCAATTTCTCATTACTTCTGGAGCCTCCCCATCCTCCTCTCCTCCCCTGGTCTACAACTACTCATCCACCCTAGTCTTCAATTGGTCCCCCAAATACGTATCAAACTATTCTCATTGTTGAACTTGCTTTCCTCTCTGCCTGCAGTCGTCTCTTTACATTTGTATACCTGGTTTCATGGCATTGAGAGAATCTCAATTTAAACATCAATTCCTGAGAATAATACTTCCCTTTAGATAACTCAATGGAAAACATATTTTTCTGGCTCATAACTTTTTAATTTTTGGACCGATGTGTTTCTCACCTGTTTATTTTGTATCATGTCTCCTCTTGAGAAAAAGGTAAAAAATCTTATCCTATAGTCTTACATCCTAGTACCTAGTAGG